TGGAATGCCGCGCTGCGCTCCCCCCGCCGCTCCTTACCAGGTGCTGCCCCAAGCATGTGCTTGGGTGCCTGGTGCCTGGAGCCAGCCCTGCCATCATGGCCCTTGATATGTGCCCGAAGGTATCGTAATTCCTACGGCTGGAACGCAGCTTCCTCTCCCCAAACACTGATGAGGTCTAGCACCTCACCATTGCTCGATACTGGGGATCGCCTGGCGCGTGGAGGCATGGCCACCTGGAAAGATTGTTTCTCGTGGAGGTGGATGACCAGGAGCGCTCCAGCCGCGGAGTCCGGGTGCTCTACATGCCTTGCCGGTGTGGACGCGTCATGAGTTAGGGCGCCTGGGGCTGCTTTAAGGCGCTCTACCTTGCAAGTGTAGCCAAGCCCTAAGTTAAATGTAGGCGTGGCAGAATTCTAATTTTTTTTTTTTTTTTTTATAATTTCAGCAGATAATACTGATTATTTTTAAGCATTTTTTGCAGTTTTAATCCACTTCAATTTTCACAGTTGAAGGAAATTATTAGGGGGAGAGTGTCACACAATAATTATTCAATGACAGTAGATGGTGGAATGCACAGAGGTAGAGGTTTATAACTAAGTCCCTACGTCATTCGCAATATTGTGGAAATTGCAATTCCTGAAATATTAGGCTTCTACCACCATTTTAATTTATTTATCTTACTTTGCACAGACCACAACTTTGTGTACATTTTGAGTGTGCAGTTAGTACTGCACTAACATTCAATGCCTGTAAAATGTAAAAAGCTGAAGTGACTGGACTCGATTTCTACAGCAATTGTGTTAAGACTTTTAGTCTTCACTCTTTTTTTTTTTTTAATGAATGAATGTAATATAGTTGCAGCAAAATGTCTGGTTATCAAAAAAAAAAATTAGCAGGCATAACATAGTACTGGAATGTTGTATCGTTCCAGCAAATTTTTCTTCAATTTTCTTGGCTTTTCCAAATTACAGCTATTAATAAAGGTCCGTTATCACTTTTCCACTATTTTCCATGTCTTCTCTACAATTCAGCCATGATTGAAGATCATCCCACAATTCAAGTAGGGCCTTATTTATAACCATTAAAACACAAATTGTCAACATTACATGTCAAAATATATAAAGTAAATATGCTTAAATAAACCTCTAAGTTCTCAAGTATCAAAATTGATGGATAGTTAAAGAAAAATGCTTATTATTGGTGGAAATATTTTTTCGTGTGTATGGTGAAATGGACATTTTCTGATTAAAAACCCAGTCCTTCCAAGCCTAGTTAAGTGTATGAAAAATTCAAATGACTTTTTCCACCACTGAGCTTTTGTCTCTGCTATACATGTAGGTATTTTGTAAATAATTCTGTTCATTTTAACTTTTCCAGTTTCCCTACTACTGAAGGAAGGTTTACTGGTCTGTCACTCCTAGGATTACCCCAAGCACTTAAAAAAATAAAAAAAATAGCTAAAACATTTACTACTCTCCTGTCTTCTATCATATACCCGTTTTTAATAGGAGATTACAAAGTTTAGTAGGCAACTTTACTCCTTAATTCTTAAATCCCTCCAGCACTCTTGGATATAAATTATCTGATCCTGAGCTTAATTTACTAATTAGGACTATACTTCCTAAAGTGCCCTTGAAAAGAAGAGGCAGTTGGCGTCGTAGCTAACTTACTTGCAAATTTAAATGGGTTATGCATAGCAGCAAACTTGATCTGTATTATGTTGTATAAGTATGGTTGGTTGTGTACTTCTCACAGAAGTGACTTTCATGGATCCTGTCCAGTGCTTAATTTGTAATGAAAGAGGTGCCGGGGCTCAAGCAATTAGGTGACAGGACTCAAGCAATTGTTTTTCTTTCATAACTGACATGGCAAGCACTGAGGTGCTGGTGCTATGAACTGCCAAGCCTAGAGGTGCCGGAGCTCATCCCTGGCAAGCCCTGGCATAAATTAAGCACTGATCCTATCTGACAGAGCATTGTAGTAATTTTAGATTTTAAACCTTTCAAGGCTTGGATTATTTGCCCAGTACAATGGGATTCCTGTTCTGATTGAGGCCATTAGTAAATAGCAATATTTACTGTTAGTAATAAAATACAGTAGTAGAAGATGCTACATATGTATGTAAGGTTGTAGAAGTGCTTCGATACCACGGTGCTTGGTATAAGAAGCTAGATTGGAGTTCATGGGGGAATGGATGATATTTGAGAAATAGTATGTAGTTTCTTTTGAGTCTTCTGGTGTTTCCTCCTTTCACTTGAGCTGGAAGAATCAGGCCAACAGTCTTTCTAATGATATTCTTGGGTACTTCAGCATCTCTCATTCAGGCTAGTGCCAAGAAGTGTAGATGTGCACAAAGATTAACAATGTTAATAATAAACGTAGGTAAGCCTTTTTCAAATGTTAAAAGCTCTTCTGGCTTGGTTCTTACTTTCTGCACTACCCATCTTATGGCTAATGTAGTGCCCAGCTTTAAAAAAAGGAAGGAGGAGGATCTGGGGAACTACAGGCCAGTCAGCCTCACCTCAGTCCCTGGAAAAATCATGGAGCAGGTCCTCAAGGAATCAATTCTGAAGCATTTAGAGGAGAGGAAAGTGATCAGGAACAGTCAGCATGGATTCACCAAGGGCAAGTCATGCCTGACTAACCTAATTGTCTTCTATGACAAGATAACTGGCTCTGTGGATGAGGGGAAAGCAGTGGATGTGTTATTCCTTTACTTTAGCAAAGCTTTTGATACAGTCTTCCACAGTATTCTTGCCAGCAAGTTAAAGTAGTATGGGCTGGATGAGTGGACAGAAAGCTGGCTAGATTGTCGGGCTCAACGGCTCCATAGAATATCAGGGTTGGAAGGGACCTCAGGAGGTCATCTAGTCCACCCCTCTGCTCAAAGCAGGATCAATCCCCAGACCCCTAAATGGCCCCCTCGAGGATTGAACTCACAACCCTGGGTTTAGCAGGCCAATGCTCAAACCACTGAGTTATCCCTCCCCTCAGAGATGGATTCTGAAGTTTTTGGGGGACAAGTTCCCTCTGCCTGACCAGGAACTTGAACCCTGGACCCTCAGATTAAAAGTCTGATGCTCTACCAACTGAGCTAGCCAAGCTCCATGTCTAGTTGGCAGCCGGTATCAAGTGAAGTGCCCCAAGGGTCGGTCCTGGGGCCGGTTTTGTTCAATGATCTGAAGGATGGTGTGGACTGCACCCTCAGCAAGTTTGCAGATGGCACTAAACTGGGAGGAGTGGTAGATACGCTGGAGGGTAGGGATAGGATACAGAGGGACCTAGACAAATTAGAGGATTGGGCCAAAAGAAATCTGATGCGGTTCAACAAGGACAAGTGCAGAATCCTGCACTTAGGACGGAAGAATCCCATGCACTGCTACAGACTAGGAACCGAACGGCTAGGCAGCAGTTCTGCAGAAAAGGACCTAGGGGTTACAGTGGACGAGAAGCTGGATATGAGTCAACAGTGTGCCCTTGTTGCCAAGAAGGCTAACAGCATTTTGGGCTGTATAAGTAGGGGCATTGCCAGCAGATCAAAGGACGTGATCATTCCCCTCTATTCGACATTAGTGAGGCCTCATCTGGAGTACTGTGTCCAGTTTTGGGCCCCACACTACAAGAAGGATGTGGAAAAATTGGAAAGAGTCCAGCGGAGGGCAACAAAAATGATTAGGGGGCTGGAGCACATGACTTATGAGGAGAGGCTGAGGGAACTGGGATTGTTTAGTCTCCAGAAGACAAGAATGAGGGGGGATTTGATAGCTGCTTTCAACTACCTGAAAGGGGGTTCCAAAGAGGATGGATCTAGACTGTTCTA